ATTTAATTGGGTGTATTAAGGTAAGGGCATAGAAGAATTATTTTTAAATTAAAGAATCCAAAAAATAAAAAATAAAAAATAAATCATAATGTCACCATTTAGAAATTGGTGTCCATACATGTATCCATAGGTCTTGACATTGGCAGAGTAAGATCTTCTGTAATATTTATACAGAATTTTTATACATAATTATGTGATTTAATAGTGACCTTTCACTTTAAAATAAAATACTCATGAAGATGGTTTATATTTACAACTACGATCGTGCAAAATGCCTCTCAATTCGCTAAAATCACACCAATCTATCTGCTAACCACGGATTAAATTTTAAAATTTATAGTCTTCCTTTAAAATTACTTCGCTACGTTATAGTTAATACATATATATTTTTTTTTAACCTCTAATGAAAAAGTAAAAATGAATGCAAGATTTAATATATAAAATTTATTATAAATTAGTAGTTATATATATGAGAAATATTATATAAAATTAATTTGTATTATATATATATATATAAATATTATACAAATTAGTATTATATATTATGCAAATGTTTGATAATTGTTTAGAAATATTTTTCAATCAACTAGTGAATTGAGACCGCTCTAAATCGCTCAAACCGTGGTTTGGTTATTCGTCAATCCACCATTTACAAATTAATTTGTAATTTTACTCTCAAACTATTCGAATCGCATTGCACATACCTCTATTTACAACAATGTCAATATCAATTTCATGTATGAATAAACTTTTCATCTTCCGATGATGGGTTAAGAAGAAAAAAACAAGAAAATATCATTGGGTGGTTAATGGGCCTTCACATTGGGTTGTCTTGTAACAACAAGCTAACCTCTATCCTCCCAAAGTAACCTCAACTTTGGTATTTGGGTTTCTCTCCTTTTCAGCCCAAAACTCCTTTGCTCGTTAGCCCAAAATTCAGCACTAATTTCAGTCTATCCATCAGAGCCTCCATTGAATCCATAAGTTAATAATAACCTTATTTTTTTGGTATTACAAAGTTTGGTAGATGGAATGGTTTGAAGGGAAAAAAAAAATTCACATGACACCTTTAATGAAAGAAAATGCTAGTAAAAAGGGAAAAAGATAAACTGATATTGAATTAGGTGAATTAAAAAAGATATAATTTTATTTAATTTAAGTGAACATATAATCTTTTACATAATAGAATGTAAGAAAAAGAATTCATATATTTGACATTATGTTATTGGACAGAAATACTTAATTATTGTAATTTATATTACATTATTATTTTATTTTAAATGAAGAATTGTCGCGTCAGTATCACTGAAAATTTGTGTTGAGGACGGTAAGTGAACTAAAGAAATGAGATATACTCAATTTAAAGTGACCTCACTCACCAAGAATGGCAATAGGTAGGGTATGAGTAGGGAGTCCCTACGCAAACCCCACCCTCATTTTCTTCCCTTGCTCCCACCCTGATTGACCCTCATGGAACTCTCCCTCACCCCTATTCAAACCTGCAAATATAACCCTCACCTCCAACCCTGCCCAATCTATAACACAACAATAAGAAGTTTAACAATAATATTAAAATTTAAAAATTAAAACTAGATTATACTATTTATAATTAAAAATATATATTTTATATTGTATATATGTTAAAATTATATTATATATATACCATAATAAAAACTCAAACATTATACACACACATATATATATAATATTATTTATTTATTATTATATTTGCGGGTCGGATAGGGTTATTTATTTATTATTATATGTACGGGTCAAATACGATTCGGATAAAGAATATTCTCCTTCGTCTTCGACCCGAACCCAATTGAATTTAAAAAAATAAATAAATAAATCCGATCCTATCTTATTCAATCACTTTCAAACCTATCTCATTAGGGTTAGGAAAGTCGAGGATCCGATGGATCGCAACATTTTGCCATACCTACACCTAACTCACCAAATAGAGAGATTTAGAAGATAATATATAACTGTCCATTAGTAAATGAAATTCTTCTATATCATTTTACATCATCGGTCCAGATGGCAAACTTCCCTCCAAGTCTATAACACATCTCTATATCCTTCACTCTAAAAATAACTTCCCTCATCCTCTTTGTTCCCAAATAATTCTTTACCTGTTGACTACACGTCAAACATTGTTATACGAATTCGGTCACATCCTACTTCATTTCACTCAAATAATATTTGACGGGTCATGTCTTGATACATCCTTATATCATCAATAACTAACTGCGAATAAAATTACAGTGAATGAAAATGCTATTTTTCTATGCGACAATGTGCTTTGGCTTTGGTTTTTTTAATTAATTTTTTAAAATTTTGACTATTTTTATTCCGATTAAAAAATTTGTTTGAATTAACTTTTGTAAAAAAAAATAAAATAATTATAATTTATGATATTTTATTTTATTAATTTTTTAATTTAATTTATCTTTTTTAATTAATTTAACTCAAAAAAATCAATACGAAACGAAGCGAATAAAGTCTCTTATCAATCATCAGAATTAATGGACGGAAATCACAATCAGAATTAATGAAAAGTCCCAAGTAAATTACCTTTCTATCTTACTAGACTGTTGCTTGAATAAGTAGTTCAAAATAAGGATCTTGAGCCCATTTCTTTTTTTAACCTATTGTATGTGTTTGGAGATATTTTTGTAGATTTTTTTAGTTGTAAGACATTATTGAAAGAAAAAAATTTTATGTTTGAAAAGATAGTTGAATTTTTTTTGTGATTGAATGTGATATTTGTAAAAAAAAAAAATTATTATTATAAAATTTGATATGATATTTTGTTCGAATTTATTTTTTTAATATTGTAAAATATTTATCTTGTAGTGAAAAAAATAAAAATAAAAAAAAAACCTAAAAACCAAAGTTTCCAAACACTCCCATTAAATCGAAAGATATTTTAGTAGAGAAGGGGGGGAACAAGTCGGCTATTCAGAGAGCCTTTTGGACCTATTTCTTTTTTAAGGTCTGTATTTTCATATCCCTTAAATTATGCGAATTTGGCCTCTGATTTACTTTTAGCAGGCCACATACGGCACGGGCAGCTAATGAAAGTGACAGCCATGTGGCCCCACTGCTTTTGCCCATTGACGACGGGTCTTCCAACGTCATTCAATTTTAAAATCAACAAATTATATATACTCTCTCTTGTTTTAAGAAAATTATAAATATTCTTAAGATTTAAAAAATTACAGATATTCTTCTCGAAGTTATATTTTCATAATAAATTAAGAAATAATTTATTATGAAAATATAAATCTCAAGAGTATCTGTAATTTTTAAATTTTTAAAACCTCAGGAATGAGTGATTCTACTTACATAACACTTTCAACTCATTACACCCTCATTTTTTATATTTTTTATTACTATTTTATCCTTTTATAAAATTACCGATTAACCCTCTTAACCCTAAAAATTCAACAAACAACTTTCTCACGCCACTCACCATTCTCCACCATTGTTATCTCACCTCCGACAACCATCTTCCATCACCGGCCAGCTATCTTTCAATTCCGACAGCCCTTTCCCAACGCCGACAACCCTCATCCACCCCTCTCCTATCTTCCCCAACCCTTCAGAAACCTTTCCCTTACCTCTAAAAACCCTTTTTCCTTCCTAGAACCACCATCCAGGTCAACCCTTCCTCCCTGTGAATCGCTATTCTTCTTCTCCTCCTTTTCCGCTGCTATCCAGATCTGAAACTTCTCTTTTTCGCTTAATCGCTCACGATGATGGAGGGCATGGGTGGGTCCGCAGGGTGGTTCATGGCAGTGTAAATGGGTTGTGGCGGAGACGAGTCGCCACCAGAGAGAAAGATCACAACGAAGAAAGAGGCTGGAAGGGGAGGCGCAACGGAAGATGAAGAATGTAGAATGGGAGATGCAACAGCAGAGGTGAGCTAGGAAGGTGGGCACAGTGAGGGAATAGGCTCGCGGTGGTCGGATATGGGAGTTATGAGGGGATCTAGATGGTGGTGGCGGCGGTGGTAAAAGGAGTCGCTGTTGAGGGAGGAACTGTGGATCGACTACCGGAGATAACAGTGGCTGCCGTAGGAGGTGGTTGGGGATTGGGTAGAATTAGGATTTAAAAGTTGAGGGTGTAAACAAGAGGGTATAGGTGGTATTATGAGGATGGTAAGGAGATAAAATCAAAATTTTGAATTTTGATATGTTGTGCAATTAAAAATTTGGTGTAATGAGATATTTTTATTGTGTAACTAGAATTAACCTTCAGAAATATCTATAATTTAACTAAATCTCAAAAGAAATATATGTAATTTGTCGAAAATCTTATTAATACATTCGTATATTTTGATAAAATTAACTGTCACTTGAAATGACCCCCAAACCAACTAGTCAACTTGATACTTATATATTTATTAATAATCTTATTAAGACATTTACAAATTTTAATAAAATTAATCGTTACTTAGTATGACACTAAAATTTTGATAAGATTAACATCATTTGATATTGGTATGACACTCATGCAAGTCTTAATAAAATTAATCATCACAAATCAATTTGTGTTAATAAGATAATTAATATTCTTAAACATTTTTCTTTTAAAATTTGATACTAAATTATAAAATTAACTATTATATCTTCAAAAAAATCACATAATAATAATAATTAATTAAATAAACTAAATGTACAAATTAAACAAATAAAATAATATTAGATAACTGTCTAGAAAATCAAATATTTTTGATGAAATTTGTCGAGGCAAAAGAGAAATTGAATCCCAATCCAACAAAAATGAATTTCATTGATCGAAATATTTTCACATATCGGATATCTGAAAAAGGTACAAGGCAACATCGCCTAACCAGCGACCAAAGAAAAGTCATAACCGAAGAAGGAACTTGAGAAAATGGCAAAACTGAACCAAATAACCACCAAAAGCACGAAGGACAAGCAAGCACAAACAAAGCCATAAACCTAAAGCAAACTTGTCAAACCCTAATCTTAATTCCTCCAGTTTCCATCTGAGGCACCCCCTCCCCTGGAGTATCTAGATCCGCCGCCGCCGCCGCCTCCGTATCCACGATCACGGCCACCTCCTCCGCCGCCTCCACCTCCTCCGCTTCCACCCCCTCCATTCCTTCCTCCCCCTCCCCCTCCCCCTCCTTCGTCTTCCTCCTTTCTCCGGCTGAAAAGAAAAAAAAAAAAAAAAAGGAAAATTTTT